CCACACAAACGCCCACATCCCACACTCACTCACACTCACACTCACACTCACACTCACACCCACACCCACACCGACACCCTTAAAGTTAAAGAAGCTTTTTTTACCAAAGAAGAGTTTTTCTAAGAAAAAATTGATATTGTATAAAGTTGAGTGGAAGATTGGTGGAGCCGAGTAATTTGAATCTGAAATCTGTTTTTCAAAGTTTTGAGTTTGATTTTTCGTAAATGTTTTTTGTAAAAACATCGCTTTTCTCATCAACTTTTTTTCTGAGAAAAACCAAGTTACTCACAAAAAGCTCTTCTTTTAGTGGCAAAACCATGGCACAAATTTCGAAAATTAGGTTTTAGATTCGAACTCCCCGAGCCCAACGACGTCCGATTTAACTTTATAAAAAAATTACTGTTTTCGTACAAAAGTTCTTCTTTGGTATCAAAGCTAGTTTAACTTTAGAGTAAAGGTAAAGTGCTTCCCCTACTGGTGCATGTCACGTCATTACTTAGCTTTAAATAATTTAATTGCTAAGCAACCATAGGCGGGAGAGCCATTAGGCCTGGGTAGGCGCAAGCCTACCCTAGATTGAAGTAGGGTGGGCTTCAGTAGGCTTAAAATAGAATAAATCAAGGCTTGGATAGGCTCGATAAAATTCTAAACTCCTTTGTTGTTGTTGTTGATTTTCTATATTCTTCTGACAGTTCTAACAGGAGATGTGTTGTCAGAGAATGTGACGCCGTATTTTCACTAATGATAAAGCCGCATTATAGAATATATGTATTGCGTTCTCTCTTGCTCTGCACTGACATCCAAATCTTCATTCTTGATATATGATCGGACTTGATTCTTGAGAATTTCTATTTAAAGCGATTTTTTTAGATATTCTTATCAGATTTCCGCTTAATATTCCGATACTATTTAGACAAAGAACATATTGTTCTTTCAACATCAGAAAATCATTACTGGAATAGTGTTGGTTAAAGTCTATCTTTTTGTTGAAATTTCATCTAGAAGTTCGAATAATACTGACGAAAAATAGGAATTTATGCACAGATGCATAATAATTTGAACTTCGACAGCTTCTCATAAACTTTACCAAATATTCGTTTTGGTTTTCTTCCAAAAACCAACTATTATGAAAGTTCTTTTCCTGGCAGATATTTTAATTTTTTTTTAGGCTCCTTTTTTTCTTTCAGAGGCTTTTTCATCTATTCTGTTAGTTTCTCTTGTACTGGAACACAATGTCACATCTGACAGCTAGTTATACGACCTGTAAAGAGTTAACATTGAGATCGAAAAGGTATAACATTTACTTCTA